CCCTTTAGTCCCTTTAGTCCCTTAGTCCCTTTAGTCCCTTAGTCCCTCTGTCTTGGTAAAAATGAAGTGTTATTTTTTTTTTCAAAATTCAAATTTAAATAAAAAAACCCATAGACTCGAAAACCTATGATTGGTCCAAATGCTGGCACTCGAAATCTGATTGGTGCATAGGTAGACTGTGAAAACCTATGATTGGTCCAAATTCCAACACTCGAAATCCGATTGGCGGATAGGCAGACCGTGAAAACCTGTGATTGGTCCAAATTCTAACTCTCCAAATCTGATCGGCGCATAACCCGACTGTGAAAACCTGTGATTGGTCAAAATTCCAGCTCTCCAAATTTGATTGGCGCATATTTAGACCGTGAAAGCCTGTCATTGGTCCAAATCCCAACTATCCAAATCTGATTGGCGCATAGCCTGACTGTGAAAACCGATGATTGGTCCAAATTCCAACACTCGAAATCTGATTGGTGCGTGGGTAGACCGTGAAAACCTGTCATTGGTCCAAATTCGAACTGTCCAAATCTGATTGGCTGGAATGCAGACGAAGCGAATATCTGATTGGTCGATGGGTTAGGGACTGTAGACTAATCCAATGGCTGAGATTAAGTTTTCTTCGAAGATCGATGATTTGATAGGTCAAAAGAAGATTTTTTCGTTCTGTGGGAACGAACGAACGAATGAAAGAAGTTACGAACATACGAACCTTGCTTGGTGTATGACCTTCCTTTCAGTAGAGGGAATAAATTTCAAATTGTTGTCATTAAGGGCTATAAGATTCACAAATATAAGAAAATATACAAAAAATACTATTATACAGTTATTTTCGATAAATTTCAAGTTGATTTTCTGACTAACGGCGAATTAAACAAGATGGCGACTATAATAGAAAAAATCCTCTTGATTTGCTCTACAAAATGAGATAAGTTTGAAAAAAATAAAAGTAGCCCGAATATTGGATGGAGTCCATCCGGTTTATCGTTTCTCCGGGAAACGATAAAAAAGAATGCATTTACTTTTCTATAGTACTGTGAGTACGTCTAAATTTGTACGTCCAAATCTATACATCCTAATTTATGCATCTTTTTAGTGTACTCAAAAAGTGAGTACACTACTAAAATCGGTCTGTGTGTCCGTCCGTCCGGCCGTTTACACGATAACTTTCGAAAGAAGAGTCCGATCACGATGAAATTTTCTACACAGTTCAGTCTTTACAATATCTCGGTCGAGTTCGAAGATGAGAAGGATCCGTCAAGAAATGGCTGAGTTATCGAAAAAATT